TTGAAACCTACAGGTAAGTGTGTTGGAGCAGGGTTGGAACTAAACTGTGCAGTGCTGCGGCCCTCCAGAAACTCAGTTTGACATCCTTGGCTTACAGGGACGAATAATTTTGACCCTAAAAAGTTTTTAAAATAATTTAATACTGCTTTTATTGTAGCCGAAATAAAACAAGTAAGACTTTCTCCTTAAGAAAAAAACACCAGACATTCTGAGAAAATTTTCGTTCTCTGTTGAATTTAATTTGGGTTATATTTGGGTTGGTTTAAATGTTTAAAAAAGAAAAACAAATTCAAAGGGTGGCTGATAATTCTCACTTCAACTGTATATATGTATATCTATATATGTGTGTGTGTATATATGTATGTATGTATAAACAAACACATTTTGCCTTTTCTAATCATGTATCTTGTTCTTCAGGTAACATCCAGAAGTCGAGACAATGACCCCAATGACTACGTAGAGCAGGATGGTGGGTCACGTTTCGATCTATAGATTTTTTTGTTGTTGTTGGATTTTCATTCACTAATTGTATCTTTGGCACAGACATCCTGCTGGTAAAGCTGAGGAAGGGTCAAGAGCTGCGGCTCAGAGCTTACGCTAAAAAAGGCTTCGGCAAGGAACACGCCAAGTGGAATCCCACTGCAGGGGTGGCGTTCGAGTATGACCCAGACAATGCGCTGAGACACACAGTCTACCCTATTCCACAGGAATGGTATGGCCCTTACTGCTGGTTTAGATCATGCTGCTATCAATTAAATGAGTATTTTTTGCAATTTACAAGCGTGTCATCAGGTACATAACGGGCCAAAATGCATTCATGTGTGTCTTTGTTCAACTGTCAGGCCTAAAAGTGAATATTCAGAGATTGAAGAAGATGGGGTTCAGGCTCAATATGATCCTAATGGCAAACCAGAAAGGTAAAGTAATTTGAACCCATATGTTTGTTAAATTTCTATTTCTAGTGTAATAGAGGTTTAATTCAAAAAAAGAGCATGCCAGCACAGATCTACATGATTTATTGCATTTATTTTCATTCAGGTTCTATTACAACGTAGAGTCCTGCGGTTCACTTCGACCGGAGACCATCGTCATGTCTGCTCTTGCTATGCTTAAGAAGAAACTGAGTGATTTACAGACACAACTCAGTCATGAGATTCAAAGCGATGTGCTCACCATTAATTAAACTGCTTTTTCAGGGGTATATATGTATTTTTTTTCAGCTGTTTGTTTGCATCAGATTGGTGTAGAATTCTATACATAATAAACACACAAACACATTGCGTCATGTTAATGACTTGCACAATATGGGAGAAAATACTGTGTATGAACACTAGAGTGCAGGCTTTGTGTTGAAAAATATGATTTCGTTCATTTATATATGATTGAAACATGAAAAGGCTGTGTAATATGGTCATGACAGTGACAGATCATTTATAACAGCATGCTGATAATGGGAACATTTTATTTCAGGCTAAAATAAATAAAACAAACTCTGATAATGGATGTAAGAAATGAACAGAAACCCACCCGGAGACAATGTAAACAAAACGCATGGAAATAAACAAGAGCGATATGAGTTAGACAACAGATTGTGCAATCATATTTATTCGTCCCGTAAAGTTTTGGTTGCTTCAAATACATATAGTATCGAGGGATTTCGAGGAAAAGTGCAGTCACAAATAATTTCTATCTTTGATTTTAATCATGGATTCTAGTTTAGCACAAAATTACAGCAACATAGATCAAGTGAATGCATTCCCCACAAGAAGTGTGTGAGAGACATCTATGAAGAAGAAACAGAAATCCAGCTCCAATTAGACAGGCCCTTTCTGCATCTTCATGTTATAAAATTGCGTTTTCAAAATAGGATTCTTCGTACACAAATGGTTTCAGTGCTGCCACTGTCAGTTGCCAGAAATATAAAGTCAGCTTTCAGATACTGTAAAGATACGGTTACACATGCCATGTTTCAGAGGAATTTCGCGGGCAAATGTGACGCTCAACAGGTCAGTTCATTACGTTTCATGTGCTCGCCTGCTCGGTGGTATTCAAATTAATATTTTCATAACAGAATTATCAGTTTTAGAGACTGATATTGTATCTATAAATATAGACTAGTACTTATTAAATACTAGACTATATGGGCCTAATTAATAACGAACCATCAGTGTTACTAGCAAATTTAAGATTTTTGTCATTAACTGTTCTTCAGATACTTTTGGTGTGAAATAAAATTTAACTAAACTAGTGTTTAATGAAGTACTAGTACAATAACAATATTTAATGTAACTAAACTAGTGTTTAATGAAGTACTAGTACAATAACTTGATATTTAATGTAACTAAACTAGTGTTTAATGAAGTACTTGTACAATAACTTGGTATTTATTAAGTGGTATAGTGGCCTGTCTAATAAGTGCTACCCAATATTTATGTATTAGCAGGCTAGCATTTAATATCAATAAGCATTTGTAGCTAACAAGTAGCTACAAGTTGGCTACTTGATACAAAAGGTAGTAGCAAGAAAATAGCCAACTATTATGTTTACGTAAATTAAATGTTAAAAATGGTTAGAAATAATCACAATTAATAATACCTTAAATCCTCCTCGTTTTATCATAACGTTACTCCTGTTCATCTCCTTTTTTAACCGTCAGCGAGCGAGGTGTGACGACGTTTTCAGTTTGTTCATCTGATTTCGGCGGCAATTCCAATTCGAAACGCCCGCGAAATTTCTCAGAGCAGAGGTAAATGTGACCGCATGCTAGGTAAGTGGGCTAAAATATGTGCTCATTTAGTTTTTCCGTCAAGTATAGACACCACACAAATCTACATTTGAACTTCTTTCTTTAATTACATAGTCTAAAAGAAGCAGGTGACAGCCATTATCTCAATATTTTTCATATCTTCTAATTCACTGAGACCTATGTATATGTAAATTTCAGTTCATAATAGTATACTGTACCGTGGAATACTGGCAAAGAAAGACCAAACAGTGTTCTTTAAATTTGTGTATTGCTTCTTACTGATACCACATAGATTTTTGGCACACCACATATCAGAGTTAAATGTCATAAAAATTTCATAAATATTTCTATAAATCTTTAAAATACTGTGCTGTTTCCTAAAATAAGATATATAGAGATGATAACTCTAACTCCTCTAAGGTCGAGAGATAAGCAAACATATATATATATATATTTATATATATATAATTTATTTCTGAATCTCTTCACTGCATACTTTAAACGCTTATCAACTTCATTTCATTCACAGCCATTCTCCACATCTATCGCCTTTCCCTCAGTTCTGTCGTTACCCACAGTGCTTTGAACTTAATACTGAAGGTGAAATGTGTAATGCTGGCTGTCCCTTCGTGTCTCTGTGATGTATTTAATCATGAATATGAATATTATTTCCAGTCCATACCTGTGGGATTTTATGGCATTTACAGTCAAATGAGATTGATAGATCTCTAAAAAAAAAAACAAGTCTAACAATGAGAAAATCACAACTAAACTTTAGAGGACCTAGAGATGTTGTGGTGTGTCAAATTGCAACACGGATAGGCACACATTGCAGTTACATTTTAAAAATAATAACATAATAAGACAGCAAAATCATAACCTCCCCCAGCAAAGCAAAAGAATTGCAGGACTTGAAATAAAAAGTAAAAGCACTTTGATTTTTGACCAAAACTGAAAATTTGAATTTACACCCGGTGATCCCACTTCAAATTTGTTGCAATGGTTGAGTTGCAAACAATAATAACGGTAATAAAAAACCACCCAAATCAAATTTTGATAAAAGGAAAACAAATAAATACTACTAAACAATATACACATATGAAGTCCTGTATCAGTTACAATTGACGACATTGATATGTATAGATTAAGGAGGTTTCCTGGAGTTTGGACATTTCTTTTTACCACCCAACAATCAAATGATTTATCAAATTAGAATTACACTAAAAATAATAAGAAGATTAATAAGAATAATGAAGAAATAAATGAAGTATTCATCACACATTTAAAGCAAAAGACATACATACTGGCCCTTTCAGAGTGATTGTGTCAGCATTCAACTCAAAGCTGGCAAATTCAACAAAACCAAATTTCTACTTGAATTCAGTTCGATTCTGTTGAAGCATTCACATGTTTTCCTGTGAAGACCCTTTTTTTTTCAATTCAAAAACTGCTGGAAATTAATACTGAGTAGCAACAGCGCAACCTAGTGTTGACTGAAGGTACAAATACAATGTTGCTGGGAATGCAGTTGACCTCCTTACCGAATGGAAGACACCTAATAGTAAACCACAATTCAGAAAGACCCAAGAGAATTGTTGATCATTCAAACAAACATCCAATGTTATCTTATTACAATGGTGGAGAGACCTGCTGCTTGCTACGGTTACGTTGTTCACACGTAAGGAGATTTTAACTCTGTTTCAAGTGACCACGGCCCTTCTAGGACTGTCAGCGAATGAACTGAGGGATGTCTAAATGCTCGCATCTCAGAGATTCGTGTACCTCTTGGTTGAAGGTGTATGAGGAGGGAAAAAAAGCAAGATATTTATTTCATAGGCAGCTGATACATAGACAAAGGTTCCCTTTTTTCCTGAAGAAATATTCTCTGTAGAATTGTCTTAGCAAAGATAGAAAATGGATCCCCAGCTCTGCTGGTTTCAGTGCATTCAAAGGAGGCCAAAATCCTTAAAAGCCAAAGGATAGTCAGCTCATGTTTGTAGTTTCCATACAGTGTGTTGGCTTCAATGTCCTCTCTGGTGCTGGAGCTCTTGGAACATAAATGCAGGGAACCGCTTGTGCTTGCGCGGATATTTTGAACGCTTGAGTTTCTTCAGGATGTGAGAGTTCCTAAAATCCACCGAAAGCATGATAGGACAACAAAGTGTTCAAATTAGTGAACCGAAATAAGGGAAGAGGGAAAACGAAGCTTATGAACAAGATGCGCCGAGTCCTGTGGAGGACGTCTCGCCCAGTCTCATCTGTCCAAAAGGACTTTAAGCGCCCGCTCGATGTTCATTCTGTGACCCACACGAGTCACACCCAAGTCGATCAGATCCTCCTTTTGCAGGTTTGGCAGGTGGCTGCCCTCTATATCATTGTCCATAAAGGCATCCCTGTGCTCACCCAGGTTCAGGCTCTCGAGCCAGTCGGCCACATCCTGCTTGCTCCACAAGAGAACAGGTTTGGTGGCAAAGGGCTTATTTGATGCAGCCTGGATGAGGGTGAGTGGGGAAGGGGAGCGGCTACGCCCTGTGCCCAGGCTGAGGGGCGGTGTGGGCAGGCCAAAGACGTCCGTCATGGTGGGGGAAGTGGCCGAGGTTGGGAGGGAAGAGGCACAGCTGAGGCCAGAGTCCGGTGGGGACATGATAGGGCTTGGGGTGTGGTGGTGGGGAGGCAGGCTCTCTGCCTGTCGGCACGGTGACGGGGCAGGCACGTTGGGGCCAGGCTGGGCAGTGAAGGTAACGGTGGTGTTTTGCTGTGTACCTGAGATGAGGGATACACCATCCTGATTTCTGCAATGACAGAAGGATAAACATGAGGAATACATATAAGGAGGAAAAACATGAGGGAACATGTACAGCTACATCCTAGCTAAAAAAAAAATCTAGAATGCTTTAAGTGGTTGGTAAAGCTGAGCATTGTTGTGTGGTTTATGTAATCTTTTCACCTTTTTAGAATATTGTTATGAAGTTATTAGCATGTTCTGGGCATTGATAGTCCAAGTTAACTGTTTGTATGATTTTATTTGCTCCCAGGTGGAATTTTTAGTTGACATTTTTCAAAAGTGCCACTGAAACAAAAACCTACTAACCTCTGGAAAAGTGTTTTTATGCAAGGGACAGCTGAGACAAGAGACTTACAAAATACAAAATATTATGTGTCCCAATAGAAAAACAAGAAAAAATGTTGAGGGCAAAATAAGCGTATTGAAACCCAAGTGCACTGAAAGTATGAGTGTAATGTAGGTGGTTTGGTTTAAAGGAAGCAGAGAATGTGAGGTTCTTTAGAATAAAATGTCCTTGCCCCAGGTTTCTCCTTATACCCAAGGTGAGCTGGCCTAGATTTGTTGTCGACACATAAACTTTTACATTTGCATCTTATGTAACATAGCAAATAAAACCAAACACACTCATATAAACAGTACTCAACAACTCTAGACTGATACAAAAACATCAATAAATACGCAACATCAATACAATGTACAAGTTACACATTTAGCCCAGATCATAAGAATAAAAATACACCAATTCAGTGATTCAAATAAATAACGCTAGCTTTCAAAACAACAACAAAAAATAATCTATTTCTATTTATTGTGAGAGAAAAAAAAAAAGAAAAAAAACTCTTTGCTTAGTGTGTGCTAAACATAGCGCTCTGCCTGGGCTACAAGTGCATTTTGGGGTCAGTTCTTTGGTCTGTAAATAACTAAATCATTTAATAATAAATGAGACTTGGGACTTCATGTTGATGGCAAACCACTGTCTGTGCTATGTGGAATCCATCAGCATACGCAACCTTTGCACATGCACATCAGTGTTCATTTTGCTCATCTTTGCAAACTAAATGACATAAGCTTTAAAACCAAATTAGCTTTCTCTGTAGGAATTGTAAGTTGAAAAAAAAACAAATATTTATTAAAACAATTGTAAAACACTAAATACAAAACAATTTGTCCTTAGTATTTTATTATATTTAGGAGTATATTTATGAGCTCAAAATATAAATATGATTTTAATGCATTGTACCATTCTCCTTGCATCATCAGTACTTTGTTACTTAGTATAAGTTACTTATACTCAGAGCATTCTAAATCAGTTAATATTAGGTTTATTTTAGTATTGATGCAGCCATAAAAACAGCCTATGTTGGCAGCAACCAGCAAGACAGCTCAGTGGGCTTTCTCAAAATAGTACTAGCTCCTTATAATTGTAAATGCTTTTGTCTAAATTAAATATTCCTTTAAAAAGCCTTTAGGAGATTACTTAAGATAATCTAGACATGTCTTGGGGGAGCAGTTTGGGTGCTGTGACAACTACGTAACAAATGGACCATGTTGTAACAACACACACCTCCCCCTTCTGTGGTATGGTCTGTGTTCATCATCACACTGACGTTGCTCATCTCGTCCTCAAGGCTGTTCTCATTATTGGGTTGCTAGGCAACTCTTTCGTTCTCCAGCAGAGCACACACACTAATCTGAGAGCCTAAATGTAAGCCTGTGATACAGTAAGGAAAGAGGGCATACCTTGTTCCAAAGTGAGTCCTGGATCCAGTCGGAGAGTCTAACGCTTCCCCTGGCTTTGGTGCTTTGTCCTTGTTCACATGCTGCAGAACTGAATTGGTTTCAGGCCCATGGGGTCCTTTCATCTCCGGAGGGTCACCCCACAGCTTTGAGGTTCGTTGCGTTGGGGTTTTCAAGGGTTCTGGTGGAATAGATCCAGGGGGTGGAGGTGGGACAGAGGAGGGCATTCTGAAAGAGCCTACGTTCTCCTCAGGCAAAGAGTCCTTGTAAAGTGCATTGCTCTTGATGGCAGGTTTGGGTTTTGGTTTAGACAGGATTTGAGACCTGTCCACCAGAAAGGCTTGTCCATCTGCATAGACGGTGCACGTATCCAGGGTCTCACCTCCTTCAGAAGACAGGGTGGAGATGCTGGACACAGTAGAGATGGTGCTGGTGGTCTCCAGTTGGGGGTCACCACTGCTCCGGCTGTCTACCTCAATGCCCGAGTCAGTGATTTGTTCATAGGGCTCTAGAGGCCCAGGAGGGAAGCTGGGAGGTGTGCAATTTGTGAGGACTGTTGATCTTTTGATTTCAGCATGCCCTCCACCTAACGCGGGATAGTAGGGAGCAAGAGAAGGCCCTTTTGTACCATTTGCTTTCTGTTTGAGTAGTTCAGCTATACTTCCTGCCTGGTCTTCAGGAATGTCAAAACTGTTGGCAAACTCCAGTGGGGGTGGTAAGGGTTCTGCAAACACAAACTCTTCATCGATGTCGACAGAGGCCAAGGGCGGTGGAGGGATGCCGAAGGGCAGCTTCACAGGCTCATCCACTGAGCTAACAGTTATAATGGTCTTGCCATGTGGAGCAGCTGATAGCGCCTTGGGGGCTGGGGGGTTGGTGGGAGCTGGCTGGTTGGGGTCGCGAAGCTCCCCAGGGGTGTTGTCGGGACTCACTCCCTCGTCCCTTTCGCCCTCTGACAAGCTGTTATCCTCAGATTTTGCCCCATCTGTGGTGTGCACCATCAGCAGACCAGCTGACTTCTGCTGAGAAGTGTCCACAATGTCAATCAGCATGTTTTTCTTCTCCTCAGGCCTCTTTTCGGGCTTGCCCAAATCGAGCTGATACTTGGATTCTGTCTCATATTTGGACTCAGTCATCTGCCTCCTCAAGCCCCCACGGGGACGGCCCATGGTAGCAGTACTTGAGAAGCCAACCTCCACATTTGGTCTAAGCTTGGTGTCGATGAAAAGCGGTTTATTGAGATCAAGTTTGGATGGGTCACTTTTTAATGGAAGAGGCTGTGATTGATCCCTCATGGCTCGGTCTCTGGCAGCTAATGCTAAAGCTAATGGTGAGTTGGGGTCAAGTGGCTTGCCTGTTACTGGGTGAACGTAATTCCCACTTCCTGAGCTGTAGGTCTTATGAGCAGGCAGACTGATTGGGCTGTGTCCTGTACGAGTGTTCAACAGTTCCCTTACCATGGTGGGTTCGGGACTGTTGAAGTCTGTCACATTGCCACCACCTCTAGGGATGCTAAGAAGTGATGAGGGAGGTGCCATGAGCCTACGCAGCCGCTCATCGCTGCTAAACATGCCCTCATCAATAGACTTGGAGTGTCGAAGCCTTGGGGTAGGTGTAGGAACCACATCTTCATCACCAGCATCTGTAGACCTAAAAGATGGTGAGTTGCGATGAGAATCAAGCCTTTTTTCCCTGTCTCTGACAGCACCAGCAATGGCAGCTGCAAATGGACTGCCTGGATTTAGGCCATCTTCAGGACGCAACTGCCCTGGGTGATCTGGAGTGGTCGTCTCAATTTCCATGCTGCTTCCTTGACTGCTTTTGCCGCTGCTGCTGGTGGAGGGCTCTTTGATTATTATTGTCGGAATAGGAATGGAGCAGGTCTTCTCAGGACTGTCCTCTACGTTGGACTGTTTGACAAGCATTCCCTTTCTTCTGGCAGGCTTGTTGGGCACAAACAGTCCAGCTTGACCCATCTTACCAACATCTGAGTAAGGGTTCTCAGGGATTTGGGCACGGCGCATATGAAGACTCTGCTGGGCCGTGGGGCTGTGATTGTACCCCTCAGAATCATACTGCTCGGGATTGTCTCTGTAATACTTGCCCTGATCTCTCCACCCAGCACCTTCTCCTCTCTCCGGGGCTGTGCTGTTTGCATTAGGACTCTGTGAAGTAAAACCTGCTCTGATGGTGCCGTATCCTCGACCAGCTGGGACAGGAGCATTATTATGAGGTGGAGATGGAGGGGAGATAGCTGGTGGGGGTGGAATATCCTCTGATGTGTCAGGCATCGAAAGGCTTCTTGTAAATTTCAACATTGGAGGAGTAAGGAACTGCTTCTCTTCTTCGGTTACTCCTGTAAAGAAATAAAAGAATAAAATTCATACCAAACACGTCAACAAGACTGGGGGTGTAATTACCATACAGAAACAATAAATATGACATTACAAAGCAAATGTTACATCTTGAAAATAAATCAGATTAATGGAAAAGCCTCCAGCAACAGTGGGCTGACCACTGAGTGTAGTAGGCCAATTATTTGTTTCATTTGACAAAGCTCTGAATGAGTTTTGTGTGCAATATATCAAAATAAAGATGTACTTGAGTGTGCAAAACAAAACAATCCACACACCTATGGATGTTTGCCGCCGTATGGTTCCCCTTGGTAGACCCAGAAAAGGGCCTCTAGGACTCCCTGGCTGTGGTGACGAATCTACTGCTGTATCCTGACTATTGCAGAGAGACTGCAAAAGAAAGAACAAGGCTGACATGATAATAAGGACAAGCATAATGCAGCACTTTTTGTAGAGCACCTATTCAAACTAGGCTTCTCACATTTTGAAACAAATTTATAAAAAGGGATTGAGACAAATATATAGAAATAATCTATAACATACTCACAACCCTGTGCATAATTCCACTCTAATTTAAGCATCAAAATCCAACATCACGTGCATAGCCAGTGGTTATATGAGACTTGTGAATAGCGGTTATTGCAGTTAGCCTACAATACAATTATCAACAATCACAGGAGACCGAAGCTCTAGGGGATATTACACAAGGCACGCTTACATTCATTTCAGGGCTGACAGGAAAACATTTGCTAGTTGGACGTGGCTTGACCGTCGCCACTCTCACTTCTGCATTTGAGTTGTCCCATATGGGTTTCTGAGGAGGTACGACTTCATCCACTTTATCTGTAAGACAACAGCATCTCAAATTAGAAAGCAGGAAGCAACATTTAAAATAAGCTCAGTATCAAATATTGCTAATTTCCTCTAAGAGGATCCCCAGTGCAAGGATCCAAACCGAGCAAGAGAGGCGACAGAAATAGGTACAACAACAATGGTCAAGGTCAAAGCCGTGCAAGCGCTTCCTGGCTGCGTTGGAGAAATCTTAGCACTTCTTTCAACGGCCACTGTGCAACATGCTAGCTTTTTATTTATTTTTTAAGACAGCTCCCATGCATGGGATGATTACTTAGTGTGACTTGAAATACAATCCTCTTCTTCAGACCCTCATTATCTGAAAGCTGATCATCTACACAGAAATGGAGGAAAGGGAAATTCAGTTTCTGATATCCTAGCATAAAAGTCATCAAGACTGAATATGGTTACACACAAACACACAAACACACATGAAACGCCTTTACACCTGGTAATTAATTAACTACATTTAAAGAGACAGTTCACCCTCAAATAAAGTTTCTGGCATCATTTACTCACCCTCCACTTGTTCCAAACCAGTTTGTTTGTTGAACACAAAATAATATTCAAAGCAAATGTCTTCTACTCTATTTTGTCCTACTATGGAAAGCTTTATTCATAATATCTTCATTTGTGTTTAACAGAAAAACTGAATGAAAGAAATTCATAAATGTTTTGAACCATTTTAGGCCGAGTAAATGATGACAACCCAGCAGGCACACAATGTCATAAGACATTAATATTAGGTTAGCTTTAGGTTGTGAGTCAGCGTCTAAGGACAAAGTTATTTTGACATCGAATAACGATGTCAAATGACATTGATATTTAGTTGATTTTAGATTGGGTTGGAAAGTGACCAAAATCCAACGCCATATTGACCTTAAATACTGACATTTACATTGTCAGGTATGGCAACCAAAATTCAACGTTTGATAGACGCCATAGTGATAATGTCCACACAACGTCAAGCTGTAACATCATTAAACGCTGATATTTGCTTGATTTTTAGGTTGGACATTGGAGATTGACATCGACCTGACGTTGGGTTCTGCCTTCATCTCGCTTTTCATTTTCAACCAAAATGCAGCGTTGGGGTACAACGTCAAATTTATGTCATGTTGACATCCTGTGCCTGCTGGAAAAATAATAATTTTGGTGATTAATTCCTTTTCTGTGTCATTAGCATTACAGAACATCTAAAAAGGATTTCTGTCATTTTGAAAGGTAAAGTAAAGTACTTTGTTGATAAACAGTATTAAACAAGCCCAATTTAAAGCATTGAAATGTTAAAAATAAAATTTTTATATACAATTTGTGAGATTCAAGCATCCCAGTGAAAAAGATTTAATCATTAAATAGATAAACCAGCATGCACTAACCACAATATTTCTGTTGTCCAATAATGAAATAAGCATTACAGTTTAAACCTTTATAAAAAACTTGTAAGACTCTAAACAGAACAAGATTAAAACATAGTTTCAGTTATCTGTGAGCTATTTATGTGCTGAACATCCAAATGTGATCTGGAAATGCATTTTAATATCAGAAGTAAAGGGGTCACCAGTTACATGTCTTCATTCTGCAATTATATACACTTCGAAAATACTCCTGAGGCAAAACAAGAATTAAAAACTGCCCATTAAGGAGAATGTGTTCTGTAGTTAATATTCATACCACAGAGTATATATCAGAGACTGCAGGAAGAGTTTGAAGTTATATAAATATATATATATATATTCATAAATTTTCCTTTAGCTTAGGCCCTTATTTTTCAGGTGTCACCACTGTGGAATGAACCACCAACTATTCCAACACATGTTTTTATGCAGCGGATAATAGTTATATATTTATATATAGAAACACTACCTGACAAAAGTCTTATCGACTATCCAAGTCTATCCAGAAGTGGCTTATATGAAAGGCAAAGGCCTCTAGATTACGTCATGATTTTCAATTGTTTATTTAGAACAGTAAGGTCTGACTTTGTTTAGACAAAAGTCTTTTCACTTAACAGGAATAATGTGCAGTATAGGAAATAAAGTAATGGTGCAGTGGAAAAAGAATTATTACTGTGTCTGACTCCAATGAGCTTGGAGGACTGCATCCATACATCTCTGCAATGAATCAAATAACTCAATAATAAAATCATCCGGAATGGCAAAGAAAGCGTTCTTGCAGGACACCCAGAGTTCACCAAGATTCTTTGGATTCATCTTCAACGCCTCCTCCTTCATCTTACCCCAGACATGCTCAATAATGTTCATGTCTGGTGATTGGGCTGGCCAATCCTGAAGCACTTTGACCTTATTTGCTTTCAGGAATTTTGATGTAGAGGCCAAAGTATGAGAAGGAGGTCTTATGAGCCTGTGGTTTGTAATGTAATGGGCATCATAAATGTCTTGATATCCCAGCCTGTTGATGTTGCCATCCACTCTGCAGATCTATCAAACAACCCCAGACTGAATGTAACCACAAACCATGACTTTTCCTTCACCAAACTTGACTGATTTCTGTGAAAATCTTGGGTCCAGTGGGTTTTAATATTTCTTCTGAAGTATTTGTGATGATGGGGATGCAGTTCAACAGATAATTCATAGAAAAAATTTATCTTCTGCTATATTTCCAAACGATCAACCAGAAATCAAGTTATTATTTGTTGCTCTTACAACTGGCATTAACGACAAGATTTTTGTGAGGTACTTTGTGTGTGTGTGTTAGTACATATATATTAGTGCTGTCAAAATTAGTGCGTTAACGCATGTGATTAATTTGAAATATTTAAATAATTAATGCGTTAAAAAAGATTAACGCAGTTGCAGGTTTTTTTTTTTACTTCCTTTTGTGGTCGATGTGTGTTCAACATGCAAAGAAATATGGATAAGACCAAGGAAGCGCTTTATGAAGGCAAGTTTCAGTATAAAACAATTAATGTCGCATTACCAGGCCATCCAGCATTTCGTCTAGAGTTTCATGCATTTTTTAAGTGTTTCATTTTTAACTTTCGACTTTTGTTTTAATGAAATTTGATACCACATGGCGAACGGAAAGAAAAACCTCCGCCTTTTGTGACTCCGTGGTCCTTTAAGGTAATCAAAAATCGCTGCTTACATGATAGACTCTTAATAAGAGTATTATCCTAATCATATTAAAATCGGAGTATTCGTGTCTTATGTAAATGTACTCAGAAAGTGTCAGATGAAGTCACGAGCTGTCAAAGACAGCGCATTTTAATGCCTTTCAACATGCGCCCTCCAATGTTTCATTAAGTTTGATGTGTTTCCTCCTTAAACACATCGAAAGCGTATGCTTCGCGTTGTTGTGTCAAAATCCGTGTGAAATACAGCCATACTTTAGAACGGTTAGTTTAAGCAAATTTGATGAACGCACGTTGTGTGTGTGTGTGTGTGTGTGTCTGTTTGTGTGTCTGTGTCAGGCCTATGCAGGGACAGGTGCTCAAAATAATCGCAAAGTGAAGAGCAAGTGCCTCCTGAGAGTGCGCGCATGCGTTTCTTAGCAACAAACCTGCTTAAACGTTGTTGTCCATAGCCAGTAAATCAAAAAGTTACAAATTGCCGTGAGATTGCGTTGCACTCTCAGCTCACATCATTGAAAAGAAAAGGTCCACATAGTCCCCCGATAATTTCAACAGACAGGACTATTTTAGCAACTGGCTGAATGTAAAGGAGGACTGAGCAAAATTGTTTCTACTTTATAATTAATGTTCTCAATTCACAGCAATACAACTTTACAATGAGTGCAATTGTTTGTATCCAATACTTTATTATTATTATTATATTTTCCAACTTCCATATTTGCAGTGCCTGTATTTTGGCATTTTTTTGCAGTCCACTTAGAATCCAACTTGGAAATAATTTTTTTCTTTATTGGTATTGATTGGTTTAAAATTCAAATGGCATCAACATGCATGTGTTTTAATTTCTGTAATAAATATGGCTGTCAAGCCAGGATCTTGATGGTTTATTGTGGGTATGTTGTTTACATGAAGAAATCTGTGTTACAAATTAAACAAAAATTCTAATAAACAATTATTTTTAGAATTTAAATAGTTTTTGTCTTGCATTTACATTAATTTTACATTTGAATAGCTAAAATGATAAGTTTCAGTCTTTTAAATTTAAATAATCGTGATTAATTTTCAAAAAAGTGTGATTAATTACCTAATTTTTTAATCGATTGACAGCACTAATATATATATATATAGACACACACACACAGAGGTATGCAGCCAGCCACAATATGTAAGCATAAAACTAATGCTTACAACGATTTAGAAAATATCTCCATCTAGAAGGCAAAGGAGTCCATTCAGCAGTCTAAGACGTCATGTCATATCTGCGCAACATACGTCATACGTCGTCATAATTCTAATCGATGCTAAGTCTGGCGATAGCTTTACACTGAAAATATGGCATTACATTTTGCAGTTGGACCGTTTCTATATTAAACATATGCAGCATTATTTCCATGGCAACATCTTGTTTCAATGTGATTCAAAGCTGGAGTGGTCCCTTGTATGATGATAGATAGAAAGTACTTCTGTAAAGGGCGGAAATTATCTTAAAAAGTCCAGCTTTCAAATTTGATCTTCTCTCTGAGGAGAGAAATGGAGGCAGGATCCATTATATCGGTAGGAACAAGGGGAAATTCATGGCTCTTGTTTTCTGAAACAAATCCTTTTAGTAATCGAAGGCAGGCTGTTGAATAATAAATTCTTACATTGCACTTTTGAAGATCTAGAAGTCAATAAGTGAAGCTACAGGCTTATGGAGCCATTTGCAGTGTAAACACATTTCGTCTTCCAACTGGCAAATTTTGATTATTGGAAAGAGAATACAAATTATTAACACTGAATCATTTAAAACCCCAAAAAAGTTCAATTGTGTGAGAAAAATTAATCACTAAACTATGCTGAGGTGACAAATATTTAGGGAAGACTCACCCTTCTTTTTCCTCAAAGTGGCTTTAACATAAAAGAACAATTCAGCTTTAATCAAGCATTAAAATTCAGAGATAATTTCCAGAAAACATGACGAGAAGAACCAACGATTGGAATACACTGTATTCCTCCACATGGCATTGACCTGTGCATAATGTAATGCCATTTTAGATGGAAAGCAACAACAAATCCATGCAGTTAACTTTCCACCAACACTACACGAGACAAGTAGATTAGTATCCAATAAAGTGACAAAAAAGACAATTAGTCGCTGATTACACAATGTACACAAGAATTTAAGACGCATTGCTTACCCTTTGTGTCATAGTTTAATTACTGACAATGAAATCAGCATGACCCATCAAACCCTAGATTTATCTGTGATCACCAAAGTAAATCCTTCACAACCTGCTCACATGAAATGCATCATGCTTTAACAGTATCTAGTATTTTTGCTTTCATTAGTGAGAACTACACAAAAACTGTGACGAACACACAATGTGCATATAATCACAAATATACGTCACAAGAATATACATACTGTACAACAGATTGACTTGCATGCCAGGGAAGCACAACATAACAGGTTATATACAGCTTGTAATAAATGTTTGTGTAAATGATCACATCATACCTTTATCCACTTTTAGGTCAGCATGCAGGAAAACAAAACAACATCAGAGTTCATTTCATAATGAACGGTAGCTGTAGAACAACAAAAAGTGGCACAGGTTAACAACTAATTCTTCTGGACCATTCACGTAAGGCTTGTTTGTGATTTTGAAAACAACTACACTTAACAAAATGCGGTGAAACTAAACCTTGACATTAACTATATATATATATATAATATAACAGATCTCATGGTTTGAGACTGAAAAAAGAATAAAATATGAGTTAATATTGTAGCTGTATTTACAATATTGCTAGAATGTGACCCATGCAAATGCTCCCTTATGTTATGAATATGTATTAAAGGTGAAGTATGTTAGTGTTTTTATTGTTCATTGACTAATATAAATATGCCAATCATCTCTAACTAAAATGTAAATGTTGAGTCTTATGAGCAGCATGAGGAATCTGAACTCAGGAATCAAAAACTTTGTGGAATTTAATGAAATGTTTGGGTGTTAATCGAGATACCAAACTTGTGTTTCTTCTTAACTATTTTGTCTCGTTAAACCCCATAAAAATAGTTTTTAAAAATTAAGTATTAGAAAAATCTCAAGTTTGAGTTAGGAAGATGTAGCGATTCACTCTACTCGCGATTTGATACGATTCAAAATACTGATGTCACGATACGATTTATTTGAACAAAATAAGATAATTTAGCAATGAAGTAGTTTGCAATTGTAATATTTCCTTAAAAACATTTTTAAATAACAAAACTAAATTGCAATTTAGTTTACAATTCCAGAATCAACTTAATAAATCATATTACAAATAAAAAAAATAAGCAAATTAAGACTTTGTTGATGCTCTTCTTAGCAAGTTTTTTTGTTGAAGAGATATATTTTTTGAAATGAAGTCTGCACTGCGCGCTAGCATTTTTTTAACATTCAAAGGAGATACTAATGTGAAATAAAGCTACATAAAGTAATTGTTTAACAAGTGCGAATCATGACCCTCGTGAAAGAAACATTTTCTGGCACAAGCTGAGATCTCAAAAAAATAAGTGAAGTTTATTTATAAACTAATGTCGAGAGGAGCTGGAGCTGTTGCAGCTGGTCCCGCATTATCCAATTTATGATTCACCAGTCAGATGATTCCTAATACACTATAAATACTCTAAGTTTCATATCACAGCCATGTTCTTTTTGAAGAATCCCCCCTTCCACCCCTACTCCTCCTTCTTTCCTAGATGGGTGGCACGGTGGCCCAGTGGTTAGCACTGTTGCCTCACAGCTAGACGTCACTGGTTCTAGTCCTTACCAAGCCAGCCGACGTTTCTGTGCAGAGTTTACATGTTCTCCACGTGCTCACGTGTTTTTTTTTTCGGGTTCCCCAGTTTCTTCCCACCGTTCAAAAACATGCAACTTAAGTTAATTGACTAAATCCAAATCGCACCATAGACATGCTCCTAGTAAGTAGTTATCTCTTGAGAGCAATCACTATCTGTTCATTAGCTACTACAGCAGGGGAGTTCTTGAGATCTACCTGAGCTCAAACTCCCCTTACGCCTTCCAAATGGGAGGGAGCCCAGGGCTTGAGGATCTTATAAGCCCAGGGCTCTCTCCCGGGACAGCATGTCCAACAAGCTTTATAATCAATCATCAGCTAAGTGTGAACTCCTGAAATATATCTTCTTTACAAACTTTGAAATCACTTATCAAATGTGTGTGTGACAGTGAGAAATGTCATGTTCATTGTCATCAATTTAATAATATGACTAAACATAAAAAAATAGCGGAGATGAAGTGCAATAAAGTGGAGATCGCTAGAAGAGTAGACATGCGGACATCGGTGGATTGAGCTCCACTAGAGTGCACTATTTATTAACTCTGCATATTTTTACAAGCAAGTTAATCATTCTCTTTTCTTCGGCTTTATCCCTTATTCATCAGGGGTCGCCAAAGTGGAATGAACTGCCAACATTTACAGCATATGTTTTACACAACGTATGCCCTTCCTGCCACAACCCAGTACTGGGAAACATCCATAGACTCTCACATTTACACACAATCAAACACTACGGCCAATTTAGTTCATCCAATTTACTTATTCCCTTATAGGAAGACCGGAGCACCCGGAGGAAACCCACATGAACACGGGAAGAACATGCAAACTCAACATAGAAATGCCAACTGGCCCAGCCAGAACTCAAACTAGCAACCTTGCTGAGGGGCAACAGTGCTAACCACTGAGCCACTGTGTCACCCCCAAATTATATTGTATAAAATAAATGATAGATCGTACTGCCTTTGTGACAACACAGACTAAAAATCTAGCTTTCACAAACCGGCACTCCTCTAATTTGAATAAAGATGGAGCTGCTTAAAACATATATGCACCCTTTTCACATGTTCAGGTTTTCTTATGCCAAGTTCAGACTGCATGATTTTAGACCTGATTTTCACTCGCTGACAGGTTTTGATAAATCACAGACAAATGCCTAAAACCACAGGCAAAGCGGTGCTTGTTCACGTGAGTAACAATCACGCAGTGTGAACTATCAAAAACGTGTTCTGAGAGAATTGCAGATGAGTCGCCGATAACCATCAGATATTCTGCATGCTAAATATCTGGAGCTATCTGCGATTCAAATCATGTCTGGAAGCCAGACTTGGTCCAGTCATGTACCGTAATTCACTGCGGCATGTGGACTAAGCAAAAGCTTGTTGTGTGGACCAGAACTGGGCCAGAGATATTTTGCTATGGGAGCAGTAAATGCATCCTATGAAAAGGGTTCATTATGATCCATTTAATATCCTGATTGATTTGAATCAACAAATATTTGAATCAATTTTCAACTGACTCACAGTGAATCGTTACAAACCTAAGTGAGTGATGAGTTTAAGCGATACTTTAAAAATAACAATTACTTTTTAGATCTCCCTCTACTCAACTACACACTTCACCTTTAAATGACAACAGAAATTGGATGGGATGCTTCTGCTTGGCGTGACTGGGCTTACCTAGGTCTTCTAGCTCTGAGGTCATAGATTTTGAACGCATGGACAAGGCTGTGGAGGGAGCCCTCCGTGGTGGCGGTGGCGCTACAGCAACAAACAAAACAAAAAATACAGCAGGTACAGTTGATGCTTGACCATGGGCTGTAGCATTCCCATGAGGAAGCACGGTATATTCAACATCAACTCATGCATTAAAAGGTTTGACGATTCTCAAATTAGTAGTGTTAGTTAAAACTGGGGTAACACTTTATTTTGATAGGCCATTCGAGTATTAGTAGACTGTCTGCTCAATATCTGTTGATACTACTGTTGATGCTAAACAAACATTAGTACATGTCAACTTACACTAACCCTAACCCCAGTCCTAACCAGTCCTAGAATAAGTTGGCATGTACAGTAGATGCAACAAACAGACCATCAAAATAAAGTGTGACCAAAATAAGTGCTTGTTATGCAAAAGCAATGGTTAGAATTACGTGAAAGGAGTTTTTTCTGCTAAACACGTTACATCATGACCCAGAAAATACATCAAGACGCTCACTGTACCTTTCTTTCGAGCCGTGTCGTCAGGGTCTAGATTTCGACTGACCGTTACCACTTTGATGATTAAGTGGTTGCCACCATGACGAATCATGTTGACCACTTGTTTGTGGCCCACTTTGACAACGTTATCCTGGTTCACCTATAAAAAAGGAAAAATAATTAAGCATCAGCAGTGAACAAATCATCAATATCAACCTTTTCTGCAACTTCCTATGTCATGCGAATATGTGCAATAAATAATCAAATGCACTGTTGTTGTAAAATGGCAGTGCTGTGCATAATTAATTTCAAGCTTTTCACCATTTAAAAACACCATGAAAAGTTTTATATGCGCAATGTTTTGTGCAAAAATGTTCAGTTTTTAGTACATCACAACATTGACAGCCAGACCACAACCATGTTCAAAGCTAAATATTATCATACAGCTTAATGGAAACTACACACTACAAATTGCAGAGAAATTCTGGAAAAAATGACCATTAATGCTGAAAAGTACATATATGCTGCCTTCTTTTAAACTCAGACAAAACAGAATTATTACTTATTGGGCCTAAATCTTGCACACAGCAGATCTCACAACTCAATTTACATTAGAGGGATACAAAGTTAGTTTTAGCTTTACTATAAAAGATTTGGGTGTCATATTTCACAGCAATCTAACTTTTAAAAACCATATATCCCATGTCACAAAAACTGCCTTCTTTCATTTGAGAAATATCGCTAAATTACGTAATATGCTATCCATCTCAGATGCAGAAAAGCTAGTCCATGCTTTTATGACTTCGAGACTGGATTACTGTAATGCTCTATTTGCTGGCTGCCCAGCATCCTCTATTAACAAACTTCAATTAGTACAAAATGCAGCAGCCAGAGTTCTGACCAGGTCTAGAAAATATGATCATATAACCTCAATTTTATCCTCTCTACACTGGCTGCCTGTTAAGTTTCGTATTGAATTTAAAATATTACTTCTCACCTACAAAGCTCTAAATAATCTAGCTCTTGTTTATCTAACCAACCTTCTGTCTCGCTACAAACCAACTCGCTCTTTAAGATCTCAAAACACAGGGCTTCTGGTAGTACCTAGAATAGCAAAATCAAGTAAAGGAGGTCGAGCCTTCTCTTTCATGGCTCCTACACTCTGGAATAGCCTTCCTGATAACGTCCGAGGCTCAGACACACTCTCCCAGTTCAAAACTAGATTAAAGACCTATCTGTTTAGTAAAGCATACACTCAATGCATTACCTAGCGGGTTCCACACAGGCTTCTGCATCTTGCTTATATACACTATGAACAGCAGCTACGCTAATTATTTTCTTTATTCTCTATTTTCACCTGGGGATACTCATCCCGAGGTCCTCAGATTATGCTGAGTCACTGATTGGATCCAAGACCAGCGACGTGATGATCCCAAGGATTCCATATCCGGGACCAGGCCATATCCTGAGCTGCTGCTGCGCTGATGGTCGTGGGTAGTGGAGAACATTAGTCTGATTCCAGCGACGTCCCAGGGACAGACGAGTCTTCGCTGAGGCCATCTTCCAGCCTTAACCACGGCGAATGAAGTTCTGCACAAGACTTTTGGCCAGCGGAGAAATTAAAATGGTCGTGCCCAACTGAGTCTGGTTCCCTCAAGGTTTTTTTTCTTCACTCCCATCAGGTGAAGTTTTTTTTCCCTCTCCGCTGTCGCCACTGCCTCGCATTGTTCAGGATTGGTAAAGCTACGCATCGATGAATTGGCTCTTCAGTGTTTGAACTCTCAGTAATGATTAAATCACACTGAACTGAGCTAAACTGAACTGAACTGAACTTAAACACTAAAACCTGAACCACACTGTTCTAGTTACTATGACCATTTATGTGAAGCTGCTTTGACACAATCTACATTGTAAAAGCGCTATACAAATAAAGCTGAATTGAATTGAATTCTTTTCCAGGGACACCCAGGCTGTTTTTCAATATCAAGTACACTAAGTTTGGACTTGCATTCTTGGAAGTTCAGACTTGCCAAGTTCAGACTTAAAAGAACGAACTACCGAGGATGCGTGGACACAAGTCGGGTACTTCTTCAAATGAAATGGCAGTGTACTTTATAACGTCACTTAACTCACCATGGATTCATTGGTTTCACAGTACATTAACTATAAAATGATTTAATTATTTAAAGCACGACCCGTAATTAATATTATATTGATTTTATAAATCTACATTTTTGATTTAAGAAAATGTAAACATAAATCAATATAAATGTAAAGTAAAATGTGTTATTATACACAGACTCCTTTCTTTTATTATTAGATTTAATAAACTACAATGGACATTATACAAGTACAAATAAGAAATAAAGATAACATAAAGCAATTTGGTAAACAAAGACAAACAGCGTACAACACAATAACATAATTAAAGACACTTATAAAAGGTAACAAAATAATATTGACAAAATAATACACCTGAGAACAAATAATAGATTTAAAATACTAAAAACTGTTTGTTAAATATACCTGTCCTTCGCAGGTTTGCACAAGTCACCTCTTGATGTATCCTTGGCCAAAGGGGCAGAGCAAGTACACATCCGGGAATTTTATCTCTATTTGGCAAGACGTGAACTTTTAATTGGAACAGTACTTCGGCGAAGGTTGATGACGTTTCACGAGGACACAAGTACAGACAAGAACGCATATTGGGAAACAGCTCCATGCATATTTCAACAAGACAATGCGAAAGTACATTCTGCACACATTACAAAGTCCTGGGTGTAGAGGAAGAGGATACATGTACTAGACTGGCCTGCCTGCAGTCCCGACCTGTCTCCAACAGAGAATGTTGAACGCATTTTAAAGTGCAAAATGCAACAACGAAGACCCCATAGTGTTGGCCACCTTAAGACTTGTTTGCAGGATGAATGGGACAAAATTACACTTAAAACACTTCTTCACTTGGTGTTTTCAGTCCTTAAATGTCTTTTAAGTGTTCTGAAGAGGAATGGAAACATTACAAAGTGGAAAATGCTTTAATGTTCCAACTTTTTTGTTGAACCAAAATTGTAATAAAAATCACAAGGAACACATTAAATAATGTTTGTCGTGTTATCTGCAATGAAATACAAGTCAAAGTACATTTAGAAATCACTTCTTTTTTTCTTTGCGTTTTCCATGCTGTCTCAACTTTTTCTGGTTTCGGGTTGTATATACTACATCATATGTACATCAGTGAAATAAATACATGTATTTTGAGCATTCATCTCCCTATCGCCCTATTTAAACAAGATATATAAACACAAAGCCATCACTCATCTACAGTATGTTTTGAAATCACCCATTCTCATCATGAATTTGCTTCATATACACTTAAGCGGTCACAATTCCAGGGAAAGCTGACATTGGAAATGCATCGGTGCATAGTAAATCAAATCTGGGTTTAAATGTTTAAGTGGGACATTCAATCTGCCACCGAGGCCTTACTGGCAAGCTCAATGGCCTTCGACTACAGAAGAAACCATTTGCCGGTGGTGATAACAGTTGATATATGGACAACATTTATCATCAGATAATTTTTCAGAATCTGCTTTTAACAGGGTGTGAAGACCAATGATTCCCCACAGCATAAACCACCATAGTTCAGTTCACTTGCTTAATTTAGGCTGCATTTACACTGCCGATCTTGATGGTCAATTCTGATTTTGTGACTGTATCGGATTTTTTTGACATCATCTTTTAAAGGTGACTGGTATCCAATTTTCTATATTTACACTGGACACGAAAAGATTGCAGTGATCAGGAAAAAAAAAAAAAACGGGGAACTCTTTTCTTCATTCTTGTATTTAATCTGTTTGCAGGTTTTACTTTAGTATAATTTTTGACAAGTTTTTTCATTATAATCTATGCCTTAAATGTTCTCATTTGGCCATCTTCTTTTAATATAGGCTTTTTTAAACTAGTAACCATCTTAGTGTAATTTCTTTTTATAGTTTTATAGTTTATATTGTTTACATGGCGGATGTTGCTCTCTCTCTCTCTCTCTCTCTCTCTCTCTCTTATTAACATCTTAAATACTTGTAGTACATGACAATATAAAAGCTTTATTTATCCTTGTATATGAGATTTAAGGTTTGGGACTCTGCTGAAGTGTGTTCTGAAATGAAATCAGCACAGTTGACATCATTCCTAACGGTTTTTAAAGACGCGCGATTGGCATTGACAGGTGAAAATCCGATCAACCTGCTTACTATGTAAACACAAGGGCACAGATCTGATTCATATTGGATTCCACATATGAACAAGGCCTTAGTCTGGGGCCAATAAAGAAAATGAATGGCATTATAAGTATCAGCCAATTAATGCTTATTTCAGGAGTTCACACTTAGCTGATGATTGATTATAAAGCTTGTTTGGCATGCTGTCCCGGGAGAGAGGCCTGAGCTCATAAGATCCTTGAGCCCGGGGCTCCCTCCCGTTTGCAAGGCCAGAGGGGACTTGGAGCTCAGGTAGATCTTGAGAACTTCCTTGCTGTAGTAGCTAATGAACAGCTTTCCTTCAGCTTAATCCCTTATTCATCAGGGGTGGCCATAGTGGAATGAACTGCCAACTATTACAGCACTTGTTTTACACAACGGATGCCCTTCCAGCGGCAACCCAGTACTGGGAAACACTCATAGACTCTCACATTCACACACACTCAAACACTACGGCCAATTTAGTTCTTCCAATTCACTTATAGCACATGTGCTAACTTGTGGGGGAAACCAGAGCATCCAGAGGAAACCCACACGCACACGGGAAGAACTTGCAAACTCCACACAAAAATGCCAACTGATCAAGCTGAGGCTCAAACCAGTGACCTTGCTGTAAAGCGACAATGCTACCCACTGCGTCACTGCATCACCAATAATAAAACACCACAAATAAAACTATGGAAATAACATAATACATACAAATATTGACAGTAAATGCACAGCAATAAACAGACTGCAGGTATATGAGATATAATCGGCACACTGCCACTTTTTGTGTTTGAGCTAGCCATGACGTTTCAGTAAACGTAACTCAGCTTGACTTCGACATGTCACATGACAGCCTCCTTTCAAGCAACAATCCGAAACAATGTTTCAAAGCACAATTGTTGAAAACGTGTCGATA